TGAAAAAAAAAATACACTTCATAGCTAAAAATCACAGCTCTGAAGCAGCATTGCTATCTACAGAAACACCACAAGAGGGCAGCAGAAGATTTCTACATTCGTGCGGTCTCGTACGGCAGCTCGGAGCTCCCTCCCATTCACACCGCTCCGTCGCACACAGAGCAGAGCAGATCCTCTCCAGACACTTCCGATGGTAGAACTTCCCTGAGGCACGCTGCACCACAACACAGCACTGTGCAATGCAATTCCAGCCATTTCCAGAGTTTATTTAATGGCTTGATATTACAGAGAGTAAAAGGACATTAACAGTCAAGAGGAACAGAGTTCCTCTGTTATTAAGTTTGTCATTTGTGTTGTTACAGTAGCTTTCAGATACAGTCAAGAAATAGGCAGCATTTTACACCAGGGACCAGTATTAAAACTTCACATTTTACTTTATTCCCTGCACTGCTCAGGACTGATGATAATATTCCTTCTGTACAAGATGTATTTGACACAACTTCCAGAAGCAAGAAAACAGAAGCAAAGCATCAATCTGATCAGTAGGCTCACTGTCACCTCATAGTCAGAAAATGACTCAGAAAAGCATCTTATTAAAAACAAAAATACCACAATAGCCCCCACCTCTACATCAACCCCCCCCCATAGGCTGTTCTCTTTTTTCCTCCCCTACCATTAAAAGGAGCCCATGCACAACAAATCTTAGTAATTAGACTTAGTGCGAATAAATCTTACTAAAGAGCATGAGATTCAAAACAGAAATACTAGATGAAGCTCTACATTCAAAGAGCAGATACTATATCCACTCTATTTCTACTAACAGAAAGAAGCACAAAAGAATTGAAAACAAAATCAAGAAAGATGCAATATAACCAGCTTTAACTGCCACACTCATTCTCAACATCTAGTCTACTAGAACGATCCAACATCTCTTTTCAGAAGAGTCAAGTCACTTTTAGACTTGCTCTAGATTTCACTATGTATTGACAATGTATTTCTACAACTATCACTATCTCCATTCTCTCACAATAACCTTCCCTGTTCAGCTCTTACAGAAATAGAGAATGAAACCTTCACTCCTGGGTTCCTCTCTTTCTAACATAAATGCTTACAAGCAGTCTTGAGTCATCCTTCCTCTTTAAGACACAGTCTTTGCAGAATATATTTTAAAACCCCATTCAAGGCTCTCACATCAGCACAGAGATTCATAAGTTATTATCAACCTATCAAGAGAGAAAATTCTGCTCTCTCAAAGTACAACACAGCAAACCTATGATAGAAGTAAGTAAACTTTGAAAAGTCCACCAATGCCCTAAAAAATGAGCTTTCTTGATTTCTTAATAGGATTTAATCTAAAATACTACACGAATAACTTCAGATTTTAAAAAGCTTCCCTCATATAATGCCTACCTCACAGCAGATTTCACTTCAGTACTATAATGGCTTTGTCAGTTACACACATTTCTAGCTGACATTATAGCAAGCAGATGACTAAGTTGCACATATAGGAGTTTGAGGAAACAGTAATGGAAGTAGCACTCTGATATCTTAACTGCAGGTTTACTCAGTTTATGGTAGTCTCCAACTACCAGCCACACATCAAGGAGATACTATCTAGAGTAAAACATTTCAGCTAGCAAGAGATTCCTGTGTTCCAAATAGGTTGCTTACAAGTATAATCAGTAATCAGATTTTGATTCACAGTTATTTATCAGAATACTTATTTTCTTCTTTCTGATTGAGACCCTTGGATACAGTTATTCTTCCCCTCCCAACATACACTCTAAACAATTAAAGCTTCCCCTAGCATAAAAAATTACTCATAACCATAGCCTACTTCACAGCTGCATTTTCAAGGCCAAGTAAGAAACTAACTGCTTCCATATACTTTGCATCTGCAGTGTTTCACATCTGCAGGTGCAGAGCATAGCTGCTTCTTGTAGAAGTTACTGTGCATATTTCAGATCAAATATTCACACAAACTGCCAGCCAACAGCAGAACAAAACAAAGACCTCCCCAGTTTGAACTGCACAGGAATCTACAGCCATCACAGCAACCAAAAAGACCAATACAGAGGAATAGCGATACAGAAAATCTAACAATAAAGGGACTAACAAAAATAGAAAAACAATCACCCATCTCTGAAGATCTAAACTTACAGGAAAAGCTTCACAAAGACAAGATCTCCAACCAGAGATCCTGTCTCAGTAGCAATTAACTCTTAAATGAGGTCTAACAGAGGTGTAGCCAGGCTCCACCTCTGCCTATCACACAGCTGAATTGCTTCACCTGCACTCCCAGAGCTCACCGGGTCCTTTCCCCAGGTGCTCCATCAGTGGCAATGACTCAATAGTTCCCATAGAGGAAAAATGACAGGAGCTTATCCTCATTTCACAGATTTGTTAATAGCTCCAGAAGTAATCTAGAAGTGTTTTGCTCCATATTCATGCTGTAGGTTGTGAAGGCAGTGCACCAAACAGCCAAAACATAAGGCCCAGTTTGCATGGCTCTTCAAGCCTTCACCTGCATCAGACTCCCACGGGCTTACACTGATGACAAAGACCTACATAGAGTTGCTGTAATAGCTGCAGCCTGTACTGGCAGTCACTCTTTGCTCTCCCAAGTCACACAGAGTGGCTACTGAGAAGGATCAAAGCAGTCACTGTAGCAACAACAGAATCCCAGCAGCTGATTCAGTGCATGTGAACTTCATTCCAGGCCTGACCTCAATACCCCTGCAGCAACTTTCACGTGCAATCAAAGCACAGGAAACCAGGCAAGTACACCAATCAATTTCCTCTGTAGATTTTTTTTTGTTGGAAAATTTTATCCCACACCCAGAGCAGGATAAAAGGAGTGTGTCCTTGTTTTGCAGAGTACAAGTCTTCTTCCTCTGTAGACAACAAGGCACACAAGCAGTAAGTCCCAAGGCAGAACAAATTTTTATAGCACCGATGGGAGTCAAGAACGTAAAAATGCATGCATAGGTGAGATATCTGAAGAAAATAGAGGAGGGAGACACAGTAACCTTCCACCTTTACCAAACTTAAAAGGCATCATCTGCATGTTTTCATCAGTCAAAGCATTCGTATGGGAACTGTTGAGTCCTAGTATAACCACTGATGGAGCACCTGGGAAAAGGACTCACTAAACCCTGGGAGCACAAGTGAAGGCAATTCACCTGTGGGACAGGCAGGGGTGGAGCCTGGCTGCATCTCTCTTAGACCTCATTTAAGGGCTGACCCCCACTAGGGAAGGATCTCTTGCATGAGTTCTCTCCTGGGTAAAGCTTTCCCCTGTGATTATGGAATAGTCTAATACATGTAAGCAATCTTTTTCCCTTCCTTTATGGTGTTTCTCTGTTGCTCCACTCTTTTTGTCATCACACCTTTGTTAAAATGTGTTTCCCATTGTACTGATTTGTCCAATTCTTACAGCATTACACTTACCTTGTAAAAACATAGTGGTATTGGAAAAAGAAAAAGTTTCTGCTAAAATGTGCAACGTGCTAGAAGTATGGTAGTTTAAAGGAACAGCATCTTTTCTGGATGATGATACGAGGAGGAAAAAGCTTGAATTAAAAGAAAATTTAGCACTATGTAAAAGCTTTGTCATAGTAACTCTCAAATCTGAGTAGATATAAATTTAAAAAATAAAGCCCATAACATCAGTCTGTATTTAGGTTTTTCATCTAATTAACTAGGGGTTTCTGCCTAAACTCTAAGGTCCTCATAGTATTCAGTGTCCTTTCAGCAGAAGAATAACTAGTCCAATAACCCTGTTTTTAGTTATTCATGAGCTTTATCATTCTAAACCCATGCATTTAACTTATGGAATTATCATTGAAACTATGCTATCTATAGCTGAAAGCCCTTCACGCTGCTGCAAGTGTATTTGCTAAGAAAGTACTACAATTAGCTCCTAGCTATGCTAAAAGAATAAAGGGTGTCTGCCTTTTGGTTAAGGACTGGCTTCTTCCTCTGTGGAGGACAGACAAATGTATGTGTTTACTTCCAAAAATTGCTAAAAAATGTATGTTCATTTGTTGGAGTTCCTATTTATGGAGGGGGGGGGGGAAATTGCAGAGAAAAAATCTACAGGGCTAAACAAAAGAAAGCTTGGATGGATGATAACTTCAGTGTAACTGCTACAAGGAGTGCTAGTGAACAATGTGGGAGAAGATTGAACTTTAGCTGTGAAGAAACGAGGGAGTGGGGAGAAGACCTTGTGTTAGAAAGCTAAACCATCCATTTAAATGCTTGTTTTCTGAACAAACAGAATAAAACTCCATATTACATTTCTATCCCGGCAAACTTAGGTGAGCTGTTTAGAAACTCTGAAATTATTTATGGCAACACACAGTCACATATCTATGTATAGGGGATCTGTTGTTGGTTATGGTGAGAAACACTTGAAATACATTCTAACTGCATAAGCAACAGGTTGCAGAGAACTGATATTCATCCCTTGTTCTCTTGTGCCAGGAAAAGCCTGAGGGTGAGATTTCTCCTATCTGTGTGTGTGTACACACAGGTTCAGCAATGAGGCGTGGGTAAGAGCAAAAGCTCTTGCATTCCTGTAAGACTCAACTGAGTCCTTCACCCAACTCACCCTTTTTGCTGAAGCCCTCTCAGAGCCACCACAGACAGCAGCAAGCTGCCCCTCAGGACTTCTAAGTGATCAGGGAGCTTTCCTTCCAGCTCTCTGCTGCAAGGAATGTTCTGTTGGAAACAGGTCCTGCAGCAGGAACCTGTAGCTCCACTTGCGACAAGTTACCTCAGATAGTCTGAGTGTGTTTTGTCAGCTGCTACTTCTATAGTTTGATCTTTCAATCAATATTTGGTATGGGGAGGACTGTGTTTTGTATGAGTGAAACAAACGTGTGAAGGCAGAGGGAAGGAATACAGTTTAGCTGTAAAACTCCAGGTGCTCTGGGCCTTCAACAACCCACTTCCAAAATGGTTTTATACGGTGCAATGCTGTGCCCGCATTTGTTTACCTCCGGCATCCCTGCGTGCTCCCAGCTCTGCGCAGTACAAGAACGGTGCTAGAAGAACGGCGAGGCACGTCACCGACAGCTCGCCACACCGCCTCTCCTAGGGAAGCATCTGGTCTGTCGCAAACGCTGCCTAATCCCGGGCTGCCGTGTAGCGACCCCAAGCACGCCGGTTCGGGCTCCCGCCGTGACGCGCTGTGAGGCGACTCCCGGCGGCGGCGCTGTGCTGCGGCGCGAGACCGCCCGCGCGCCGCGCTGCCGCCGAGGGGCCGCGCCGCCCCCGCGCTGCCCGGGAATCCCCCGCCGCCCGCGGTGGCGCTGCGGGCGGGCGCCGCTTCGCTCGGCGCTGGGCGGCAGCTCGCCGAGGAGCGCGGCCCGGGTCTGGCCTCTGCCGGCGCCTCTAGAGTAAACGCGCCCGGGATTGGCTTCTGCCGGAGAAGGGGGCCATATTGGATGGGCTCGCCCCGCCGCCCGCGCACCATTTTATCGGCTCCGCCGCCGTCCGCCCCGCGCCGCCCCTCTCCTTTTGGGGGCCGCCCCCTCCCACCGGGGCTGCGGGGTGAGGTGAAGGTGTCCCGGGGAGGAAATCCGCCCGTCGCTCCCCGCCCGCCCCCTGCGCCAGCCCCGTCCCCGCTGCCGCGCTCCCTCCTTTTCCTTCCCCCAGCCTGCGGCCCCGCGCCGCCGCCGCTCACGCCCCTCTCGCTCCCCCCCCATTCCCTCCCTCCTGCGGCGCCGTGTCAGCGCGCGGCGGCCCCCGCGCCGGGCGGCCAATCAGCGCGGGGGTGAGAAATATGCAAATGCGCCCCCCGGCCCGTCCCCGCGGCTTCGCTGGGGCCGGTGGGGTCGCGGCGCGGAGCGAGTGAAACTTCGCCCCCGGCCCGGCCGCCCCTCCCGGCCTCGCTACGCTGCGCCGCTCTGCGCGGCGGGCGGGCGGCGGGGGGAGGAGAGCCGAGCCGAGCCAGTCACGCCGCGCCGCCCTCGCCCGCTCCGCTGCCGCCGCCCGCCTCTCCCGGCCTGCGCCGGCCGCCCGGTAAGTGCCGCCCTCGGCCCGCGGGAATCCCCCTAGGGGTGGGGGAAGCCGCCGCCGCTGCCGCCCCCGGGCCGCCCCGGCGGGGAGCTGTCAGGCGCGGGGCATCGCCTCCGCCTTCTCCCCGCGCGCGTGCCTCCTGCCGGGCAGCGCCGCCGCGTAATGGCGAACCCGGCGGTGAGTACGTGCGAGGGGCCGGGCCGCTCCCCGCTGCCTCCGAGCAGGCCGCGCTCCCGGTGCCCGAACCCCTCCCGGCCCCCGCGCCCTGTCGGCGGCCTCCCCCGCCTCTCCTCCCGCCGGGGCACGGCGCGGCGCGGCCTGCTCTCCTCGCGGCCCCGCCGCGACCCGTTTCCGCCCCTCGCACCTCGGCGGCGGGGGCGGCGGCCCGGAGCGTGGTGCGGGCGTCGGACTGCGTGCCCCGCCGCGGGGAGAGTGGCGGCCGGGGGCGCCGGGGAAGCCGAGTTCCGAGGGGAGGGAGCGGGCCCGGCACGGGTAGCGGGGCTGCGGGATGCCGGCCGGGCGGGGAGGCGGGAGGAGGCGGCCGGCTTCTGGGGGGTCCTCGCGGGGAGGGGGCGGCTGGCCGGCCCGGAGGAGGGGGGGGGGAGAAGGCGGGTGAGGATGCGCCCGGGGCTGCGTGGCAGGAGGGATGTGGCAGCCGCCCGGGCGGGCCGGCGGAAGGTCAGGCCTGGCCGCCGCGAGGTGACAGAGGTGGGCAGGAACTGGAATCGTTTCCCGAGGCGAAGCGAGGCGGTGGGAAGGAGAGGAGCCGCGTGTGGCGGCCCGCCGGCTTGGAGCCGTGACGGCAGGAGGTGTGGGAGCCGGGAAGGCAGGGCTGCCGCTGGGTGAGGCGGCTGGGAAGGCCGGGGCTGGGCGGGCGGCGGGTCCGTGAGGGAGAGGAGCGGGGGCACGTGGCCGCGGGGCCCCCTGCGTGGGTGGGGGCTCGGAAGGGGCTCGGCTATGGGAGCACGAGGCCGGGGCTCGCAGCTGCCGGGTTGCAGGTGGGGGCGGCGGCCGGCCTCCTCCCGGCATGACGGGATCCCGGGAGCAGCTCAGTGCGGTGTGTGCTTGGCGTAGGGTGGATTGGGGGCATCTCGATTTTAACCCAGTGGAGCGATGATCCCATTTCTTCTTGAGGCGCAAAGCGGTGAAATGTGAAAACCTCCTAATTCCCCCTTGGCACGCGTTTTTGTGGGCAGGGTTAAAAAGTAAGCACAATTCTGTCACTTGGCTGCGTGGCTTTGACGTGAAGGTTGATGCATGCAGTTTCAGTTCTTAAGAAACGTTTTGTGCTCCTTGCTTTGTGTAAGTGCCACAAATCTTTAGCATCTACGAACTTCAGTTCACGAAAGTTGTTTAACTTCAGTGGTGTGAGGAAATGCATCTCTGTCTACTTCTGCAGAAGAAATCTGAGCCCTTCAGCGGTATTATGCATAGTTATAGGGGACAGAATAACAGTCTGCATGAAGAGAGAGGGGTTTTTGAGTCTTTTTCGAGACTGAGACAAGCAGCCATAAAAAGCAATCCTCCTCTCAGGAAAGTTAGGCCCATCAGGCGTAAGATCTTCTAGCATCTGTCTTTACACCTGTGTTGTTTGACACCATCAAGTTCCTATTTATAATCATGCTTATAATCATTTGTATGCAGATATAAATGTGCTTAGGATTCAAGGCAGGACTTTAGCAGTCAGTCCTCTGATGATTTTTGCCTGGATTTGCCTGGCTCTGGATTTTGATGGATTGGTACACAGGTCAACTTTTCAACTGTATCTTTTATTGGATAAGCATTTCAAAATTAATAATTATTCCTATTTTATAAATTAACTGTTAAAAAAAAAATGAGCAGCAATCTTTGGGTTTTTATCTACTCAAATAGTTTCTTCCTCCTCCTGTTTATATCTTTTCTTTCAGGCTAAATAATGTCTTGTTCATTCTTCTTGCATGGGGCTGATGGGACTTCCAATGCACCATGGACTTACTTATGCAGTTTTTGTCAACCAAAGAGCAAAAGCCTTTGTACGTATTCTTGAAAGTTAACCAATACAGGGAGCTGTGTGCCAGGCCCTATGCATCAGTCAAGGCACACGTATGGAAACTGTTGAGTCACAGCCTGAACCACCATCGGAGCGCCTGGGGAAAGGACCTGGTCAGCCCTGGAAGCGCAGGTGAAGGCAGTTCAGCTGTGTGACCGGCAGGGGTGGAGCCTGGCTGCACCTCTCTTAGACCTCATTTAAGGGCTAACTGACACTGGGGAAGGGTCTCTAGTTGGAGATCATTCCTTAATGCAGTTTTCCCCTGCAGAACTAGCATCTTCTGATACGGGTGAGCAATGTTCTTTCCTTCCTTTAAAGTACCTTTCTGTCCTGGCGGTCTTTCTGTCATCATACCTTTGTTGTAAAGGCTCTCCCTCTTATTGATCTGTCCAACTGCTACAGCACGCAAGGAGGTTAGTGGGAAATCGTGTAGGATAGAAACTTCAGGTATCAGCTGCTCTGAAATGACAGCGCATTGTGAGCTACGTGAATTTGCTTTGCATTTATAGCGTGATAAGGACAGGCACACACATAGCTACAGTGCGTCTGCTGGTTTACCTTGTGCAACACGGTAGTTGGATTTATTACAATTTATGCTGCTCTTTGTGATGATCAAGATCTGTTAACTCATATCCCTCAGATGAAAGCTGTTCTTTTTACTGGAAAAAGAACTGTGATTTTAAGCTTTATGTGTTTTCAAGAATTTTGAGGAATCTCAGCACCTACTCATTTCACATGAGCTGTGGCTGCTAAATGCTCCTGAAGATTACTCCAAGAATTCAGTATGGAGAAATGTTGCTGAAAGTACAGTGTGTTTTTTAAAAACTTGTCAGTGGTGTTATCTGGAAGATGTGACATGATCCCCTTATAAGAGGCTACTCAAGCTCTAAAATGGTAGGCAAACTGCTTTAGCAGGACCCAAAGGACCCAGAGGTCTTTTACAACCCTTATCATTCTGTGATTCTGTATGAAACGGACATTGTTCATTTGTTTTCTTTTTTGAGAGAGACAATTTAGTGATGTGGGTAGATTAAAACAAAAATGTTGATGTCATGCTTTAAAATTACCTTGTTTGTGATACCCATAAAAGAAAAAAGATGTTCTTTTATTCTAAGATGTTTCTGTCTGTCTTAGAACTTTACAATTTAAATTTTCCCAAAAATGTGTTTGCGTCCTTCAAACGCTTTGAAGGTAAAGGTGAGCTGGACAATTCTGCATGTATTTATGGGTTAGGATTCCTTGCAATGGGGAGTTGTTCCCTTTTTATCAGTCTTGAAGATGTAATTGTCCAAATGTTGGACCACTGTCTTTCTTGGAAACTGCTCATGTGATTTAGGATGAGGAAAGAAGTTGCATCTGGAGGAGTCAAGTGGCATAACGTTATTAGTCTCTGGATTGTATTATATTTGTTTCTATCACTCTGTGTAAACTAAGTTCTTAGTAAATCTTGGTACTTCGGTTCATAAGTTTTTCATTTGAAGAATTTTTCTTGGTTTAACTGCAATCCAGTAACTTTTCCCACTCAGTTTCTTTCCTGACCAAATTAGTTCGGTGGATACTTTAGTCTTCTTCCAGTGACCTGTTTGTATTTCTCCCTTTTATGGTCTCCATTTTGTCAAACTAAGGGACAGTGTGATTAATGAACATTTAGAAATCTCACGCTCTGTCTCATGTTATGTGCTCTTATTCCATCGTTTAGTGCTTTTCCTGTAGTTAGAAATAGTCTCAGGAATGTAGCATATCTGCAGATGTACAAATGGGTGGTGGAGAAACCAGTTGCCTAGTAAGCCCAACTTTCAAGAATTGATAGTTAAAGTTGTTGGAAATATTTTAGGGTATAATATTCTCTTTCCCATTTAGCAAAGTGGACTGTTGTGCTTGGATGTATTTCTGTTTCTCATACACCAGCTCCTGGAAATGGTTTCCAGTTCTTTCAGTGCTGCCTTTGCTCTGTCTCAGTTGTTAAGCTGTAAGAAATAAGCTATAAGAAAGGCTGCTTTTTCATCTAGGAAGTCAGCAGGAATATATGGGTGTAGCGTGGCATCCCTCAGTGAGGCAAAGCATTGATCTTCAGCTTCATTCATGGAGGTTATCAAAGAGATGTCAACTATTAATGTATTTAGGCCATCAGTGTA